CTTGTTTGCGCAAAATATAGCTTGACGAATGTTAGTGGCATTGTCATGTGTAATTTTAACTTCTTTTGAAACCTTCATGAAACCTTTAGTTTGTTAATCTAGGGCTTAAACTTATAACAATGAAAGCGTTTTGTGAACATGGACGTCAGATTGCCGAGGGAGACTCGAATACAAAACTGTGTTTGTGTTTGTGGTAATCTTCAACACATATGACAAAACGTAAGATTTTTAAAGATTTTTGCTTCCTTGCACGAACGCTATGATGCAAAATGCCACCAAACTTATGTAGTTGTACCGATTTTCGGGTGACGTCCGTGTCACAGAATAAAGACATACAGAAGTGTAACTTCCATTACAAAACCGTAGGGCGCTTTCACTGAAATAGCTGGCGGCCATGTTCTTAGCAAGTGCCCTAAGGAGAGGCATTCACCTCCCTGGAATATTAAATTTTAAATATGTTTTCAGGGGGGTGACTGCCTCTCTTTAGGGCACTTGCTAAGAACTTGGCGGACTGAAAAAATCCCTTACGCACTTTTAATAAGAGGATACACTTCTGTATGTCTTTATTCTGTGTCCGTGTTGACAAAAACGTCGCTTTCTTTAGCTCGCTAATGAGTGACTTTGACCTGGGCTTTAAGATATCTAACATATCTTTACGTGATGTATTAAATGTACATCATATTCGAGCTATCTTATCCTTACTGGTTTACACTATGCTTAATAGTTAAGCAACTGCATTGCCATTGCATTATATGTTTAGGAAATACCTTTTTCGTAATGACGTCAAAAGCGAATAAAGACTTTTAGTGACAATTGCAATGCAAATGGTTAGGCAACGATTTGTTCCGTAAGCCTGTTACCATTTGACAACACTATACAAATGTCATGAAACGGATACGTACGCGGAAATCCTAAATATTTTATAAAACTACATACCTTGATGTCGTTTATTTCCGTGAAATTTGTCGAGTAAAATAAGTGTTTTCCTTCCGTTAGTTCCGTATGCAAGTAGTGATAATTATAGAATGATCGATTCTCAAACAAAGCTGTAATAAATTTCTTCCTTTAATGACTAAAGAATAAAGAACATTTCCCAAGTGCGTAATCTGCGCGCATATATGGTATATTGGTGTATGGCCGATAATGTGGGTATCAGCTTACCATATGACCATGATCCGTCCGTACGTATTTTTGGCACCGCGTGAAATTTTTCATTATGTTCATTTTTCACATTTTTGTGCTTTCTCTTCGAGATTTTCTCATCAAGTCTTAACTTGAGACAAAGCACAAAAATGTGAAAAATGAAAATAGACAGAAATTTGAACAACAACTGCAATTCTCCAAATTTATTCAAACATACTATTTTCGGTGGTAATAAATATCGTCTTTTGCTTCACAAGGTAGCAAATTCAAAGATATATGGTTGAGGATAATAAAAGTATAAAAAAAAGTATAAAATAAAATCGTGATGAAATTTATTTTGACTGTTAAAATTCACATACAAAAATAATGAATAATTATCGTAAAAATAATGAATAATTATCGTAAAATATTAATTTATCTTAGGCTAAACTAAATGATTTTTTACAAATAAATTGGATTTTAAAAATAGATTGCACGTAAAAATTACAAAATTAACTTAGGGACCATTCATTATTTATGACCGGGGATGGGCTGGCAAAAGAAGGGGGTGGGTCATGAGGTATTTTTGACCAAGAAAAGGGGGGCCACCTAAAAATATTGGTTCAGAAGGGGCGGGTCCACGAGTTATTTTATTATAGTGGGAGGAAATTTTACATGTAACGATTATTGCTATAGCGCAGGAAGAAACAAGTGTGGAAAAAAATAGAAAAAAAATATCTGTTGTTCATATTTTGTTAAAGTTGAATGGTTAATTATGCAATTAGGTTTTATAACTGTTTAATAAAAACCAACATTGTAGATTTAACTGCCAACATTGTGTTTAAATATCATATCTTACAGGTAAACTACGTGAAGCGTTCCTCTTTCGAGTTTCTAAATTGATTGCAATTTTCTTCATTACTTTTGCAATTTAAAAAACTCCCTTGCAAATCCCTTGAGGGAATTTGCAATGTTGCTAAAAGCCAAAAAAATTTTCCTCAGTTCCTGTTAGAAGTTCTTAACTTCCTGTTACAAGTTCCTAACTTCCTGTTCTGTTTTGGGCGTTGCAATTGGCTAACAAAAATAATCGACCAATAACAACGCTCAGAACAGAACAAGAAGTTAGGAAATTAAAACAGGAAGTTATGAAAATTTAAAATGAAGTTTAGAATATTGCAACAGCCGATAGGAACATTGCAAATTCCCTCAAGGGATTTGCAAAGAGTTTTTCAAATTTGCAAAGCTAATGAGGAAAATTCCAAATGAGTTACGAAGTCAAATAAGGAACGCTTCACGTAGTTTACCTGTAACGGACTTGAAATCTATACAGTAGTGCAGTCCGAATTGGAGGATTTGAAATGACATCATTATAACGAATAAATCTCAAACTCATTAAAAATTCATAAGTAAATTAGCCAACAATATTACTTCAGTTCGCTCACATGATAATACTGAATACCTGATGAAGTACATTGATCCAGTCCTAGGACTGTATCAAATTTAATTCAGTCCTTGGACTGGATTAAAATTAATTAAGTAGTGATTTATTCGTATAATTTCCATCCAGTCCAAGGACCCAGGTATCCAGTATTATCATTTGAGCAAAATAAAGCAGTATGGTTGGCTAATTTACGCATGAATTATTAATGAGTTTGAGATAAATTATTTCCGTAGACTTGCGTAAAAAGATTATGAAAGTTCTGGCCTCCAAACACAAGATTTCTAAATCCTGCAGTCTTGTTTTTCTTCTTTAGTTTTCCAAGTGCCAATCAACGCGAATGACCCGCCAATAATGCCAAGTAAGAGACAAATCAAGAAATGTTGTGGTATGGTTTGTTGTGGGCCGTTTGGATGACAGAATCGTGAGTTTTTAGCATAACTAAGTTATATGATGTACTGTACGGGGAGCACGCAACAGCCGGTGTTTTATATGATTTAAATTAATCACGTGCGCTTGGTGTGACTTGCACATTTCCTCTATGTCGCGCATATCCTCTGAATTTGCGCTGAAGTCTGACAGACCTTTCACGATAAAAATTAGCGAAATAATTTTTTTTTAAATTATTGTAAAATATGAATTTTTTAATAATTGAGCATTGTGTTCAGTGGCAGCTGTGCATGATCGCAATGGATTTTAATATGGCATAAAATGACTTGGAAAGTTTATACACAAAAATTTTAACATTTTTAATTTGTGGTTCGAAGCATATATAATATTACAAAAATGGTATTAATTTATTAATTTTATAATTAGGTGCAATAATTTTAGTTACTTTAGGCAAAATTAAATTATTATTTTACAAATTATTCTCAATATTAGCATTTTACTG